GAGAGCAAAACTCTCAAGTGCTCAGTCAGCGTGTTCATCGAGTGAAAATCTGTGTTGAATGCCTCTCACACACATACTGGCGTGTAAAATCTAAGAATTTATTAGCCAATGGCTAATGTTAGACATTATTTAGTCGCCCAGAGTAAGATTTAGTCGCATATGCGAGTGATTTACTCGCAATGTAGAGGGTTGATTTTGTAAAGTTTTGAAAACTGCTCAAAGATTAGTGCGGCCCAGCCCTCATTCACAAAACAAAAAGCTTCTCCCTTGGTTCTTACCCGTGAGGCCAACTTTTTTCCTACAAGTGAAGCATCGATTCTTCTTTTTGTTCTTGTCAGGAGTCTGATCTCCGTCTGAAGAAGCCTGTGCAGCTTCCCCTACTGGCCCTGTGATTAAAGACATGGTCAGTCTTTGACAGATCATTTCTTAAACATAATGAACTTCCAAGCTTCGGAGGATACATGAGACTCCGACACTCATATCAATGATTTAATGAAAGATCAGTATTCATGTCTTCCCATAAAATGAATTGAAAGGAGGGCTTTAACTTGGATAGGGTTGTTCAAGTTTTTCATAGATTTGTTTCTTCTTTTCATATTATTATGGTGTTTCATAATTAAACATATGAACAAGATCAAATCTCAAATCTGTAAGAATCAAAACCACAGAATTATTATAATACTACATAAAACTTCTACTAACAACTGGTTTAATATTAGAATAATCTGCCAATTATTTATTTGATTTGTTGAACATTTTAGTATGTATGCAATGGTTTAATGAGCAAAAATTACAATATAAAGTGATTTTAAAAGAAAAATAAGATGAATATATTTATAAAATTAAAATTAATTTACAAAATTCTATTCAAATTGTGAACGCTGCAAAACAGTTTAAATAACCAAAGAAATGTGCTTCTAAAATGAAATTGTTTTTTTTAAAGAAACACATTAAACTGCTAATAATTATTCAATTGATATAAAAGAGGAGACCAAGAATGACCAGTGCTGTTATAGTATATTATAGTTACTATTATAGTTTATTAATTTTGATTAATTTTATTTTAGTTAAAGCTTATTTCATTTCAAGGAACAAAAGCCATTTTATGGTTTTAGTATTAACTATAATAACCCTAAGAATAATTTTGTATATTTATTTATATTTTAACACCATTTCAGCAACAATGGCTATTTTCATGGCAACATTAACAATCATTTCAATACATAATTTACAATAATATAGCATTTTCTTAAGAAGCAATCACTATACAAAAACATAGAAGTAACAACAATAGTACTGATAAAAATGATATAGAATCTTTCAATTTAGTCATTGATAAAAATTCTAAATTTCTTCCGGGAAAGACCTTTTTAAAATGTTCTTTTAGTATATTTTCTGAGTAGAATATTTTTGTACAATGTGCATATATGAGACTCAACAGACCTGTGCTTTTAGACGAGCCCCCCTCCTCTTCCTCCTCTACTTCCGCTCTGTCTGAATCAGTGGTTGCTGTGTCCTGGGAGATGCTCATAGCCGTCATCTGCTGGGTTACCGGGCTGGGCGAACTACTGCATAAACACAATCCAACCAAATACAGGGGTTATTTGTTATAATTCCTTGCTATAGCATCATAAGCAGCTTGTGCTCATTAAGAGATTACCACTGAGCAACAGACTGTTTTGCACTTGTACCAATATAAGCATGAACGGTCTCAGATTTATAAAGGACTTCTTACCTAGACGTGCGTTCTTCAGGTGGGGTAACGGCTTCTGTAGTGGGTACAGGGATGGACTCCACTGTTACTGCAACTGCACCTGGGGAACCTACAGGAGATGTGGCAGCTGGAAGAAATGGAGGAACCTAACAATGAACTCTGCTTAACCTCAAAACTGAGTGAACACTTTTGATTCCTAATACAATAGGTGCATGTGACGACATGTAAATCAATCTCCCAGTATCCTACCTTTCTCACCTGGGGGACTGTTTCGTCCCCCTCCTTGTTGTCTCTGCAGATGTTCCTTGTAGCAGACAGAGCACATTCCATTGGTGCGAGGATTACCATAGAAACCACATCCCATAGTGCAAAGCATTGGCACCTGCGTCTGATTTGTCTCCTGAGCCATGCTGTTTGAGAAGGGGGGTAAGGGGGACGGGAGAGGGCGATCCTAGAATTCGGGTTTAAGAATTAGTATTTCATAAGCATATTTATCATGAAGTGGTAGAATAGGCCTGATATATAGAAGGAAAATAATATCAAAAAAATTTTTAAATTGGCAATAGTTACTCACCGTGATGTCATTCCTGACCCATATGACTTTTTTTTCTATGAAACAGAAAAATTAACTTCACATAGATCTTTTCCATAAAACCTTGTATCCATTGACAATCAAGCTCCAAAAAAAGGCCTATAAAAGCACCATAAACGTAATACAACTCGTGTGCTAAAATTACAAGTCTTCTGAAACCACATGATAGCTTTGTGTGAATACAGCATGAGTCATATTAGACATTTGTGGTGCTTTTTTGTCCTTTCTGTGGCTTGACAGCCCATGGTCACTGTGAACTGTTGTTGTATGGAAAATATTAATGTGAAGATGTGAAAACTATACTTGTGCTCCTTGGAAGAAATAAACAGCATACAGGTTTGGAATAACATGAGGGTGAATAAGCAATAACACAATTTTCATTGTTGAGCAAAACTATTTGGTTCCACTGTCCTACAAAAATGAGTACTGAGCAATATTAATAAGCAATATGCAACTGCTATAGAGTTAGGGTTTGGTTTAGGGTTAGTTGCTTATAATTAGCAATGATTTATAGCTTGTCGTTGTTGAATAATACAGAACATAAAGAGCTTTAAAAAAATAATTGCATATTAAATCGCAATCGCAATATTGGTAAAAAAAAAATCGCAATTAGATTATTTTCCAAAATCGTTCAGCCCTAGGCATAATTTAAAGTTAGTACTATAGGTGTAACAAGGACACTTTAAAATGAAGTGTTACCAACTAAAACACATTAAATACTATAAAAGTAATAATTGCTGGCTCATAACACATGCCAAACATTGTTAACATGAAACTAAACGCATCAAATTTTATATCTTTTGTGCTCTTGACTTTGCTGAAAAGTTTTGAAAATAATACCCATTTTATGTTGTTTATTTACTCTTGACATGGCTACATAAAATAAAATATTTTTTTAGAAAGTGAGAAGTTAAGACAAAGTTTATCAATGAAACTGGTGAAAATGTTTAATGTTGTTGAATTCCCATTACAGTGAGCAAAACCCAACTTTAACCCCTTTGACTTATTTGTTGGTGACCCTGCTACAGGCTGGCAATATGCTGCACGAAAACAAAAGTTCCTTTGTTTGTTCGCGTTTTATTTCCCAAACAAGCAAAGAATGATACAGGTTACTGAAACCTAAACGGCATACTGATCAAATGACGATTTACAATCCGACAACAGTTGCGCTTCAATTCGAATAAATTACAGCGAGTAAGTGTTTAATGTTGAAATAGTAATTTACCTTAACTATCTGAAAGGCAGATTACCAAGCAAACGGTGAATAAACAAGGTTATTTTGGAGCATGTCCAGGAAAAATCAGCTGAGAGCGGCTCCGCAATTAGAAAAAAACATTTTGTCTTTGACCCGAGGACCGCGACAAACAACAAATCGACTTGGTGTCAGCGTCAAAGCGACATCGAAAGCGAATATTTTCCTTCGAAAGTAGTTCATATTACGCACAGATGACCGCGTTAAAATCGCTGACCAGATGAAAGTCATTTTGTTTGCGATACTCAACTAGCCAGGCTAACGCGCTAGCTCTGCTAACGGCTAGTTGACGTGATTGCACGCACACAAAACGGACAGCTGGGATCTCGAGACCGTCCCACGGACACTTGCGGTGGCTTAAAACCCCCGCTAGCTGGAATATTTACCCGTATTTCCGTGTGATTGAGGAGAAATCGACGACCTTGATCCACAGAAATCTGACAGAGTAGGTTCCTGCTATGCGCGTGCGGCCTGCTCCTCTCAACGTCATCCGAAACAACGGGCGTGACGTCACAATTTTTCGGCCATCATCATCGAAACCTCATCACACTTCCTCCAGTCCAGTCCACACCAGCAATGCTGCCAAGTATTTATATAACATGCAGTTTATTTGGTTGGAAAAAGTAATTTGGGTGAAAATGCAGATATATTAGGGAAGGCAAAATGGTCATGTGCAATTTATTGGAATGTGTGTGCTTTCATTTTCAAGTTCAGTGTCAAAGCTTCCTATTTCAGCTCCATTCTCTGTGAATTATTCATTTAGCTGCATCCACATGTAGTGTTATTTTTGCTTGTTCCACTTCTCTCTCTTCAGAACATCGGATAGAGTTGAAAATTCTTGTTTCAGTTTGTTCTTTTTTTACAGAGGGAATCTCTTTTATCACTCCATAAATCAGAAAATGCTGTCAGCAGCAAGAATAAAAAATACCTTTTGATGTTTTAAGGAATAAAATGTTACATAAATCACAGTGAATGATATATAAACAAATCCCTCAGTAAAAACCTTCACAATATAGAGAGGAATAAAAGTTTTGGTGAAGTCGAGATTTCAGTGAATGAGAAAAGAACTCATTTTGATAAAACAGCCTTTGAATATATGTATCATAATTGAAATGTACAGCTGTAAATAGATGAAATGTTAAAATAAATAAATAAATAAATAATCACTTAAATGTGTATTTTAAATGTTTTCTTTCCAGTAGTCTTAAAGAAGACATGTTATGGAGGCGAAATAGCCAAAAACCACAAAAATGACCAGTTTATGAAAAAAACAATGTGTCTTGCCTTAGACCCAAGAGTAGAGCAGAGACTTCTGTGATATTGCATACATATTCTTAAATATGCTGAAATGGTTCATTATAAAATATGACCTCTCTTTAGAATCCTTAATTTGTGCCCAGGAAGCAAAAACAAATGGTTACAAAAGAAATGCTTTCTTAGAATTTTTTTTTTGTTCCATTGATCCATTTATTTTGCATTACAGAAAAATTAACATATCTATTTTGCAAGAGTTATAAAATGAAAATCATGAATTACAAAACCAGTGAAGTATGCATAGTTTGCTTTTATTCAGAAAGTACATGTATTCAGTATTTAAGTAGGCTACCAGAAACTTTTGAATGCTACACAGCAGTATATCACCCACAGAAACTTGCATACTCTACCTGGTAGTGGTTTCAATGCTTGGTTTAGAATACTGACATTGATGAAATGATAATTTGCCATTTTATGTTCATTATACTGTAATATAAACAATCTAGTGTGAGTCTAAAGACTCCAGTTAACACTAGTTAAATTTTTTTTAAATGGCAATAGTTACAAGACACAACCATTTGGACCATATATTAACCTACTGCATCAAAACATCAGTTTTAAATTGTACAGCATTTTCAATCGCCTTTCTCTGTTATCCGAGGCGCAAAAGGCCCAACCAGCCAATTGAGAGGAGTGTTATTGAGAAGGTACTCCACGACTCCATCCAGTGACTGTCGTACCTGTTAAAGGATGAAAATATACATTAAACTTTCTAAATTCTACATACATTTTTAGAATCGAATAACAGATCTCAACAACTGCTATGTACAAAACTGCATACACCCAGATTGATTATACCTGGCCGATCTGCTGCCGTGTCTGCTCTAAGAGCATGGGTGTGAGTGTTTTGGTGCTGCTCAGTGATGCCTGGAGTTCTCCAGCTGTATGTCGAGCATTCAGAAGCTGTTCCTGCACAGTGCCTGGAAGACCCTGTACACTGGACACAACCCCTGAACATGCCACCTTCAGCTGATCACTCAAACCCCGTACCATCGACAGGGCTCTCGACTCCAGCTCCTATGAGGAGGCATCCACATATACACATTGAGAATGTGTCTGATAGACAGTCTGCAGTAAGACATATGAATATTCATAGACATATATTGTACTGCATTCCAAGTAAAATACAAACTGTACCTCTTCCTTGTCTTTTGCTGTATCCACCTCTGTCTCAGCTGTTACATTCTCCTGCAGTTCTTTGGGCTGCCCTTCCTTCCATTCTTTCCATCTCTGCAGTAACTGCTCCGGAGCGCCTCCTAGCTGCTGGTTGGCACTGGCCAAGGTAACCCGGGCACTTTCCAGCAGGTCCATAGTGCTGGTCATTTGAGTCACAGCTGCATGCGTAGTGTCTCTGCCTTTGCGGGCCCTAATGAGAGACTGCTCAAGCGCCCTCTCCCGAACTCTGGCAGACAGTTTACCCAGGCGGACAAAATAGCTGGGTCTAGTAGTTACTATGAATCCTTCCTCCTCACCTGGTCTTGGTTCAGCCAGTGCAGCTGTAGGCAGAAACACAACACTGGTGGTGTCAACATCTTACATTCATACATATCAAAAGTTTGAGGTCATTAAAATATTTTAATGTTTTTCAAAAATCTCTTATGCTCACCAAGGCTACATTTATTTGATCAAAAATACAACAAAAATAGTAATATTGTGAAATAATATTACAATTTAAAATACCAGTTTTCTATTTGAATATCTTTGAAAATGTAATTTATTTATGTGATTGCAAAGCAGTAGTTATTACTTCAGTCTGCAGTGTCACATGATCATTCCAATATGCTGATTTGATGCTCAAAAAACATTTCTTCATAGCATCACATTGTCAAAATTATAAATTTTGAAAACATTTATGCTGCTTAATATTTTTGTGGAAACCATTATACAAGTTCAAAAGAACAGCATTTATTTGAAATAGATTTTTTTCAATGTAAATGTATTTACTGTCACCTTTGAACAGTTTAATGCATGCTTTCTGAATATAAATATATTTTAAAAAATTGCTGACTCCAAACTTTTGAACAGTATTGTATATACATATAATAAAATACATAATTATAAATGTAAATATACATGAAATAAAGTGTTTTATTGTATGAAACATTTTGAGATTCAGGACAGTGTGTTATTTATTTTATTTCTGGGTAACAAAGCAATAGTGGGACTTGAAAGTGACATGTTTTCTTAACACTGCATTCCCTATTGCTTCATTTCGGCTGTTGCCAGAACTGAAACAAAAAAGTCTTTCCAACAGGAATGTGCTCTTCGCCCTTTCGTTGTGATAATGTGTATTTAAACCCAAGGCTAATTTCAGAAACATTTTTGGATTGTTTTAGCCAATTTTACATTTAACTTGAATAATTCTAATTTTTAAAAAAATTATGTTAAATAATTAAATTGCCGGGTCTAAAGTGCAACTACACTCACCAAGCTCCTTTTCACTGATTGGAAGGTTCTGATCCACCCAGTCTTCAGATTGGGTGAGGGCCTTATCTACACCATTACTGACCATCTGGCCTACACGGGTCCCCATGACAGTGTTTATGCCACCAGTCACAGCCATACGTGTCTTTTCCACACCACCCAGCACAGCCCCCACCACAGCATCCTTTGCTCCTGTTACTGACTGGTACACCATGCCCACTGTGTCGGATACCAGCTGCAATGGAGATACAACGCTGATTCATATAGCAATTAAGGTGCTACAAGTTGCACGCAGAACAAGTCAGTCTAGACTTTACCTTGTCTGCTGGTTGATGTAAAATTGGAAGGTTTTCTTCTACCTTCTCCAGCCCTTTAATGGCATATTCATTTACCACTGCAACTACACAAGAGAAAGAACACAAAAACAACTGTTGTTATTTGAAAACCAGTAGGAACAACACCACAAATAAAAGACAAGGCGTAAAAGATACAAACTACATCTAAGACTGAGATCCTTACTCTGAGGTTCCAGTCGGTCTAGTATGGGTTTGGAACCTGTTGAAGCAGCAGCGCCCAGCATGCGCACCCCACTCTCTGCAACCTCCATTACTCCTTTCAGGAGCGGCACGCTGTCTTTAGTAGAGCTGTAGGCATTATACACCGCACCACAAGCTGAACTCACCAGCGGCAGGTTGCTCACTCGGGATACCACACTCTGAAACACAAATGTTAAAGTTTGTTGCTGTTTATTCTCAGTTTTAATGTAGAATGAACTTCATTTATGAAACAGAGAAGAACGAATTCCTGAAGTGTTCGTAAAACCATTTTTACACAGATTGATGCGCTAAATTACATGTGTCACTTTATGCAAGAATGGTTTCATTATGACTTAAACATTCAGTGTTTCATAGTGACTTCTGTCGTGAAACTGTCTGTAGGTGAGTCATGAAGCGTGTGACTAACCTGTTGTTCCTGTGATGCCTCTGTGTCCTTCTCTGCTGTCTTCCCGTTATCTGCCATTCTGTGGAAGATGTTGTGACATTAATCAGAAAAACGGAACCATTTACTTCTCAGGTAATCACAGCCAGTCTAGATCCATCTCATAAACACAAACACAGGGGATAGTACACCAAAAAATGAGAATTCTGTTATCATTTCCTCACCCTAATGTTGTCCCAAACCTGTATGAATTTCTTTCTTATGGTGGTAACGAAACAGTTGATGGTAGCCATTGACTTCCTTTTATTATAGAAATCAATGGCTACCGTCAATGTTTGGTTACCAACATTCTTCAAAATATCTTTTGTGCTCAAAAGAAGAAAGAAACTCATACAGGTTTGGAACAGCGTGAGGGTAAGCAAATGATGGCAGACTTTACATTTTTGGGTGAACTATGCCTACCTTTAAAACTAACATGCAGCCTGGTCAGAAATAAATCAAATGAGAAAATGATGAAAGAATACTAAACTATAGAAAAATATTCCTTTAACTCCAGTCCTAACCCTACAATCTAATTGGTCAGTTGATGTTGCTTCAGGACCAAGAATGAACATGTAGTAAAAAAGAACAACAGTTTATTAAGTATAATAATATAATTAATAATATAATATAATATCATAAATTCATATTGTGAAATAACTACTGATATAATTAATAACTAATATGATGTCATAATAAGTAGGCTATATTTATAATAATAAAACGTCTATCTTTAAGCCCAGGAAGATAACTTTTACACGTTATGTGAGTAATATAAATATTGTAATCTAGTAATGAGAAATGAAGGAAAGGTAAAGGCGTGTCCTCTCAACCTCCCTTTAGACAGGCAAACAAGGAGGTCCCTCCATGTCAATGGTGTTTACAACTCTGATGACTGACAACCAAACAAGATAAGATATGGAATCTCATGAAGATTTGAAATCAGTTGTAAAAAAAAGCTGCCTCTTCAGTTCTGCTAATCATGAGATAATAGTGACGAGTAATGCAGTGGTGACGTGTACATTTGTCAAAGCATCCACCGTGAGTACTGACTTGAGTAATCTGTGTGTGGAATGTTATTTTAGTATTAACTTAATTATGTACTTTTTTAAAATTAGTTTTTATTAGTATTTTGAAATGAACTTTTTTCTATTTTCCAGAATGCTCACTTTACAATCACACACTCATATTTCACAGCTCTTTTTACATGTTCTCTTTTAGTTAACAAAATCTTTTTAAAACTTCCAAAATCCTTTTTTCATAGATATCGTGGCTACTTCTTCATCTCTTACAAAAACATACGTATAAAAAAGAAACAAAAAGAAAAGTATCTCATTAATATAGTGATGCTTGAAGACAGAAGAGAGGAAAGCTACAAAAAGTGGACCAAGTGCTCTTTTTAGTACACACCTATTGACTCCGCCCACTCTATAGCAAGTGCACTTTCATAGAGGAAGGCAGCTCAATCCAGGTTTCCTAATAGAAACCCATCCTATTGGTGCTGTGTGACCACATCTTAAAGACACAACATGGATCCAATTGTGAAAGGAAATACCACAGACTTGATAAAACCAAGCAGGAACCAATCAGAATGCATATTTTCTGCATTCGTCACACAGCTCACAATATAAGAAACACAGAAATACAGAGATAAAATGCTTAGAATAGGCAGAAAAAATAACTTCATACACCTTGTTTCATCGTAGATACCTACCGTTTGTGATATCTAAAGGAAACGGTTGTTCTTTTCTCCATTTTGCACTTAAAGATGGAAAGTAAATGTAATTCTATGGATTCTTAGTGAGCCAATCTAAGCACTTTAAGTCTAGGGATACAATCCACACAAGTGGAAAGGAGAAGGACACGTTGATGACGGCATCACAGCTACTGCAGTTCATCTTCAATACTGACGCAAGAGTTCCATCATTACCGTTGATAAAGGCAACATGGTTGTCGTTTAACTTCTCTTCCCACAGCTTCTTTCGTTCCCCTCTTTCTCTCTGAGGAAGTCATGTAGGCCTCTTGGCTGGGAAGAGATGTGCTGTTATGCAAATACTGATGAGGAGCAGGAGACTTTCCTGCACTTGTGCAAAATATCCAGCAAAAGGGAGGATGGGATGTGTCTTTTGTGGGCCAGGTGGGGAGGTGGAGGCACATGCTACTATTAACATAAGCCTTTAATTTCAAAAGGCAGCATGGAAGAACATGAGATGTCTAAATTAGTTCTGAAATGTTTCTGAAGTCAATAAACGCCCCTTGAAATAGTCCATAAAGGCCATTTAGTCTAGTACTCCACCTGCTGTAGTCTTTTTACAAAGCCTGTTCTGGTCCAAAAAAAGGTCAGAGGTCACAGTGTGACCTTGCTGAGTCTGAGGGACAGACTGGAGCGTTGCTGTGTGCGCGGTAGTGTGGAGCTGCAACGACTGCGCAGCTGAACCGGCCTCCCCTCAGAACCACGCAGACGCAATAGGAAGTCAAAGTTCGCAGATGTGCTCATGGCGTAAAACACGTTGGCGTTGTCGGGGATGACCAATTCTGGAGAAAGAGGGAAAAAAGGTTGCGAATGTGACGATGGCATTCCACCATAACAAACCTAAACAACATTTCATAATGTGCCAGATACACAAGTTTTAATGTCGTACCTCTCTCCTCAGAGATGACCTGCACCAGCTCGTAGTCAGCGGCCTGCTCACCCTCCAGGTTGTGTTTGGCCATGGCTCGAGAGATCACAGCTGGAGTTTTGTCCTGACTGGTCAGCTGCGTGGAGAAACAATGATGCATTTTACATCAGAAAGTCTCCTCTCTCTTAATTTAGTGCTATTAGAACAGGGATTTTAAAGCTTTTTCCAAAAACCTCTAAATATGATGATCCTCTGAAAAATTTTGTATACTGTTCTTCTGCACATTTTTATACTGTTTGAGAACAATAAAAATAAATATTTAAATAATTGGCTGTTATATTGTCATTGTACTAAAGCCAAATTAAATCACTAAAATGGAATCTGGAAATATTTATATAATTATTTATAATATTTCTATTTATTTAATATATTATATAACATATAATAATAATATGTTGGATGTATAAACCTGATGAGAAACATTTTCAAATTCAATAATAATAATGGTGATGATTTTTTATTAAGTACTGAATTTAAATCATTTCTACAGTACTCTGAACTTATGTACATTGCAAGGAAGGAGAGATGAACACCTTATGAATGAGATGAACACTATACCACAAAATTATAAGAAGTTTTGCTTTTATTTCTTTCTGGTAAAATCTGTGGCTGTCAATAGAATAAAATAAATCACAATTTATCATGATATTTGACCAGTCCCCACACCACAGTTTTAAATCAAATGTATTAATTATTTTTACAGGCATGTCTGCCTGATTTGAAACACATATTAGTTACACTAAATAACAATAATAATTAGCATTTTTAAATAACATTTAATATAAGACAACTCTTAAACTGAAAAGTGGGTTTGGATGTATTATTTTGGTATCACTGAGATACTGTTATAGTTTTTTTATTATCAGAATTTATTATTTTATTTTCCATTTTAATTTTAGTTAAAGTTTTAGTAATTTTGTTGTGTGTTTTGTCCTTTTTTTGTAGTTTGTAATATATATTAATTTTTATTTCAGTTTTCGTGAGAAATGAGAAATGATGGCAACTTGGTGAAATTAAATTTATTTCAGCTAACGTTTATATTATTTCAAGTAAAGAGAATGTTTTTTTATGGTTTTAGTTTACTAATAACCGTTGCAGGTAGTCTATCAGTAACTAATCATAATATTTGACCAATATACTGCATTAACAATGGGCCAATATACTTGTATGGATATGCAAGAATAGATTGTGCACACTGATAAAAGTAGATTAATAATATTTAATTCCTCACTAACCATGATACTCTTGTAGAGGTTTCCGTTTCCCTGTTCAAGGCTTACGCGGATGATGCACGCATCCTGAGCTTGTGTGTTATAGGCAGGAGGAAATCCAGGTGATGTGGGGGACATGGGCAGCAACGAGATCGAGCGCCGATGCATGCAAGGGGGCCCAGGCAGGGTCGGGGAGGCCAGAGATATGGAAGCGCTGGCTGTAGAAGAGGAGGTGTCCATGGAGTGCAATGAGGTGCAGGAGGAAGAATCGGACAGCTACGGTAACCAAACAGATGTGTATTTAATACATTATTTTAATACAATAGTATATCAATAATTTGGTCATGAATTAAGATGTTTGTACCTTCTTCAGATGAGTGTCTATAGAATGTGTGGGTGTCATGCCTTCACTCTCTGAAGGACTTGAGTCACTGGAAGACACACTGACAGAGTCCATGCTCTCCCCAGAGCTGCCAGTAGGAGGCGATCGAGGACTCTCTCTTACAGGAGAGCTTGTGTTCGTGGCGTCTATTCCTAAGAAGAGTCTAGTGAGGTTGGAAGGACAAAAACAGACATTAAATAAATTATTAGAATTTGTCATCCTCTTTGAATATGCAATATAATTCAAAAGTTTGGGGTCGGTACGATTGTGCTCTAAAATGCAGTAAAAACTGTAAAATTGTGAAATATTATTTACATTTTCTGTTTTCTATTTTCATATATTTTTAAATAACTATATTTTAATATTTTATTCCTGTGATGGCAAAATGTAAATTTTTAAACACATTTATGTACTTAATTTTAATTTAACTTTTATTAGCATAAATTACGTCAAAGTTCACAGACATGGACTATTGAGTCACAGATCTGTAATTTTGATTTAATGGGGTCCTAAGAATAAAATATGATCAATTTAGGCATCAAGATTTTGGTTTTAGGTCACTCACAGGCTTAATCTCTTCACCATACTCTTGCGGGGTTTCGGTGACGTTGGGCTGTTGTCTCCCAATCCTTCGACTTCACAAGACAGCGCATAGCTGCAAGAAATATTATCTTTGAGACTTACACAATATTCAGATGAAAAAAGGCATGTAAAGGGAAAAATGTGTGTACCTCTCCTCCTCGGAGTACTGCGGCTGACTTTTAAACCAGCGCAGAAATGCGGGATCAGGGGTCAGA